AAAAAAAATTGTTTTGAAATAAAAACATGTTTTTTTCTAAGTGGTATACCTTATTAGTTACCATTAGCAGCTGCTCTTCTAAAAGGGCAGTGACTGTAGTAGCCAGCACTGAAACTCAGTAGACTTGGTAAATGTGCAAGCTTACTCTCAAGTGGCCTCAAAAACGAAAAGGTAGAATAAACTAACAATTGTATCCTTTCTTGTAGGAAACCAACAATACGCCATGAGGCAACAATTCATCAGTTAAATTTCAGAGCTTCATGTTATGCAAAAAAATAAATCCTGCTGTTATACCTGACAGTGACTTTGTGCTGAAAATTCAGCTGTTCCACACACATGTTGTATACCTTGTACATTGATGTTTAAAGATAGTTTTGTTCTTATACAAAGTGTTGACTGCCAGGTTGCTTATAGCACTTTAAATTATTCTGAAGATGAAATTACCAGCCAAGTATGTTGGCTTAAGTAGTTTTAGTTATATAACTCTTAAAAATACCTAGTTCTTTTGGGGACAGTTTAGATAATTATCGAAAGAAAGCATAATATTAATGAGACTCTCTCGTGTTCTATGTCACGCTGTTGCTGAAGATGAATAGAAACGGCATCGTTTCCTCGTCTGTGAAAAGCTCTCATTCTAAATAGGTAATAGTGTCTAGGTTAGATGTTTATAATATAAGGACTGTAAATCAAAGTACCTTCCCCCTTTAGTCTTCCACAGCACTATTGTTGTCTTTGTGGAGGTGACTAATCACAAAACTTTAAACATCCTGTAATGGATTCCAACTACAACAAAATCATACAGATGTATACCAAATCAAAGTAAATGCATACATGCAAAAAAAACATGCTTAACAAAGAACAGTTAATGTGAACAATTAAAAGAAAACCCCAAAATAAAATATGATTCCAAGAAGAGTTAATATAAAGAATTAAAAGTAAAAGCCAAAAAATGAAAAACGATAACAAGAACATATAACTTCCCTATAACATAATAAAAATGTAAACAATGGAAAACAAAACTTGAAACAAACCCTAAAGAAAACATAGTTGAGCAGCCTTCTTTCACTGCACATTTAGCAGCACAGACTACAGCTGTTTCTCCTCTAGGACACTTGGTGGCAACTGTCAACTCAGTTCTCTCTCAATTGGTTTTGTCAGAACAGGAAAGGGAATAAGACCCACAATCACCCAGGCTGGCTCACTGGCTGAGATGTAGGGCTTATTCACACTGAGGAACAAACTATGTGGAAGAAGATTGATCCAAGGAATTCTCTGGCTGTTGAGGATGGAGCTCAGCAGGGGGCTCCTGAGCTGGCAACTCATTCTGCAGAGGATGCTGTTTCTGAGTTGTGGCCAATCTCAGCCCTCTTGCAGTTTCTGAGACCTGGGAGAGAAAGGCAGTTATTAAGACACAGGCTTGGTGGGGACCTGCATGTCAGCTCTCAGGCTGCTGCCTCCCACCACAGCAACAAGACAGTCAACATTGATCTATTAACTGAAACCATTATTGCTAAACCTGCAGGCAGCGCAAAATATCCAGCAACACTCACAAAAACATGGGCTAAGGAGCTGCCACTCAGACTTCTATCAGTGCAAACCAAGAACAGGGCTTGGAAAAGATCTCAGAAAGAAAGGAGAAGGCCACATGCCATCCAGGTCGATGACAATGAGAACCACTCATTTGACATTGGCACTTGGCTTTAATCCCTCCAAGGTGCTTGGACCTGGGGTGTCACATGACTGCTGCATGACCCTGTCTCAGGACCCAGAACTCACTCAAAGCTCTGCACAGCAACCCACCTGTCATGAAAAAATGCAGGAAGGTGACAGGTTATTCATCTGTTACCCTTATTGCACTGCAGCTTCAAACAGAGAAACAAGGTACACTTGCCCATAATTCAGGGTCTCACAAAAGTGTAATGTCCCAGAATACTTGTGCCTTGAAAGAGCAATGAACAACTACATTTCATGAGGTGGGTGGCTGGTTGTGTGCTGGGCTAAAGCAAAGATGGATCCAATGTGGCAATGTCCTCAGGCAGTATCAGACGAACTCAGATGCTTGTCCCTACCTGATGGTGTTGGGTCTGGAGCTTGCTGGTCTCTTTCTGTTCGTCTTTGTCATTCAGGATGAATTCAAGCAAATATTTCTGGATTGAATTCCAGTCAACCTGTACTGTCATGATCTCCTGGTTCAGTGTGTCCAAATCCTTCTTTACAAGATTCTTCTCTGTCACTATCCGGTTATGAAAGTTGCTGGAAGCAATGTATGCATAGTAAGATCCTGCAGCCTCCTACTTCCTCCCATTACTGCTTCCAGGTTCCATTAACTCTACCAGGACCCAGGATCCCATGAAGATCTAACACAATATATCTCACACATCCATCACAGCAGAACAAACAGCAAACAGCCAGTTCAAGAAAGAAAAAAATGATTGCTGCAGCCAAAATACCAATAAGACCCATATCTCTCCAAAAGATAGAGGGATCTCCATTTATCCATGACATCCCAATGCATTGGGGCAGCATCACTAACAGGGGCAAATATCATCAACATAGGTCAATAGAACCAAGGAGAGGGCATACTATCTATGTGTTCCATCGCACTCAGCTTGTAACACCCTACCTAAGCCCCAGAGGCAGAGTACTATATAATAAAACTCTCAGGATCTGAACCACTGTGCTATCAAGAGGCTCCTGAGGATGCATGAACAATGCTTGGAGGTGTGACAGTATCTTTCAGACTTATGAAGACCGAGTCCAAAAGCCCAAGGCACACTGATGGCTAAAAGGCTGAAGGTAGAGACACAGACCTTCAGACTCTCTAGTCCAGTCACAAAGCAATGCAGAAATGGCCATTCCACACTTGGTGGTCTCTCTGACCAGTACTTACCTATAGAAGTTAGTCTCCTTCTTGAGCTCTTCGAGGTGTTTACGGGAGTTGATGGTATCTATCTCTAAGCTGTGCAGAAATGACATCACCTTCTTCTCCTTGTACTTCAATAGCTCATACTGTGGATCTAGCCTGCGGAAGGGCCTGGCCCCAGGAAGACAGAACTCCATGAACATGGGCTTTCGGGAAAATGAACTCAGCCTGGGTCCTCTACTCCCCCACCCTGGGAAGGCCACTTTCTTCCTCTATGTAGAGGCATCTTCTTCACCTTTGGAAACTTGTTATCCTGGACCCAGGACAGCAGAAGCTAGGCATCCAGATGGAGGGTTTCCTGGCTCCCTTAGTAGTGTTCACTTAGTAGGGATGGAGTGCAGTGTAGACAGATATGGTCTCAAGAGCCTAGGCCACAAGTATTTGTCCAGCATAAACCTGTGACTATAATTCACCTGTTCATAAAAGGGATTCTACATCTTGGATAATTAAAGTGTAGAGACAAACTGTACAAATAATTCTGGAGATGAGAAAAGACAATTCCACAGCTTTATAGTCTGCCCAAGGAATACAAATCTATGGACAATGGTGACGACATAGGCAAAGTGCATTGCTATGTATGCGGGGGGCTCCCAGATCTCAGCACTCACATCACCTTGAAACTGTTATATATGCAAATCCCCAGGCTAAATCACAGAACCCTAGATTCCAAAGTGTGGGGGGAAAGGAGAACATACAAAGCATATGCACATGTAAGTGCATGTGTACACACAGACACACACACACACAGAGAGAGAGAGAGAGAGAGAGAGAGAGAGAGAGAGAGAGAGAGAGAGAGAGA